CATGGTGATCATATCCCCATTATATATTATCATGGAGATCATATCCCCCCTTATGTATTATACATGGAGATCATATCCCCCCCTTATATATTATACATGGAGATCATACTTATGTATTATACATGGAGATCATATCCCCCCTTATGTATTATACATGGTGATCATATCCCCCTTATGTATTATACATGGAGATCATATCCCCCCTTATGTATTATACATGGAGATCATATCCCCCTTATGTATTATACATGGAGATCATATCCCCCCTTATGTATACATGGAGATCATATCCCCCTTATGTATTATACATGGAGATCATATCCCCCTTATGTATTATACATGGTGATCATATCCCCCCTTATGTATTATACAATGGAGATCATATCCCCCCTTATGTATTATACATTATATCCCCCCTTATGTATTATAAGGAGATCATATCCCCCCTTATGTATTATACAAGGAGATCATATCCCCCCTTATGTATTATACATGGAGATCATATCCCCCTTATGTATTATACATGGAGATCATATCCCCCTTATGTATTATACATGGAGATCATATCCCCCCTTATGTATTATACATGGAGATCATATCCCCCTTATGTATTATGCATGGTGATCATATCCCCCCTTATGTATTATACATGGTGATCATATCCCCCCTTAATCTCCTCTTCTCAAGAGAGAATAATTTCAGTTCCTCTAATCTTTCCTCATAGCTGATCTCCTCCATGCCTCTTATCAGTTTGGTTGCCCTTCTCTGCACTTTCTCCAGTTCCCCAATGTTCTTTTTGTTAATTGGTGCCCAAAATTGAAGTGAATATTCCAGATGAAGTCTTGCTAATGATGTAATATGATATCTCTCTGGAGTCTATGCCTATTTTAATTGCCCAATTACACAGTGCATTGAGGTCGGTTTGTAAGTTGGAGACATCCTGTAAGGACGTTATTCCACTGCACAGCTTGGTGTCATCTGCAAAGACTGAAATGGTATTTTTAATCCCAGACCCTATATAGTTTTTAAATATATTAAAAAGTAAGGGTCCCAACACTGAACCTTGGGGTACACCACTGATGATCCTAGACCATTCAGAGTATGAATCATTAACCACTACTCTTTGGATACCATCTTTTAGCCATTTTTTTTTTTTTATCCAGTTTTCTATCCATTTACATACAGATTTTTTCCAAGCCTGTAGACTTTACCTTACACATTAGCCGTGTGTGGGGAACTGTGTCAAGCGCTTTTGCAAAAATCCAAGTCCAATATACCACGTCCACCGCCACCCCTCTGTCCAAGTATACCACGTCCACCGCCACCCCTCTGTCCAAGTATACCACGTCCACCGCCACCCCTCTGTCCAAGGTCAGCACATATGTGTTTTCAAATGGTACGCAACTATGCGGCCGTTCAGCGTCAAGGCCCAGCCGCCAAAGAGGCTGCATATTTGCGTACGGTTGGAGTCAATTGATTAAACTCTCCAGTATTTTCCCAACTATAGAAGTTAAAGTAACATGTCTATAATTACTTTGTAAAGATTTTGACCCATTTTTAAATATAGGCACCACATTGGCCTTACGCCCATCCAATGGTACTATGCCAGTCATTAAAGAGTCCCTAAAAATTAGAAACAATGGCTTTGAAATGGTAGAGCTCAATTCTTTAAGGACCCGTGGGTGTATGCCATCCGGTCCGGGTGCTTTATTCACCTTTATTCGGTCTAAATATTTCTGGATCATATCAATTGTGAGCCAATGTGGATCATCTGGAGCTGTGTCAATACCATGCCCATTATGGACAAGAGCTCCCCCATGCTGCTTTGTATACACAGAGCTGAAGAAGGTATTTAATACATTTGTCTTCTCTTTGTTCCCAGTCCCCCGCTCTAGGTTATTTTGTAAAGGGCCTACATGCTCGGACCGGACCTTTTTACTATTAATACATTTTAAGAATATTTTGGGGTTTGTCCTGCTATCTTCTACAATCTGATGTTCGTTTTCAAATTTTGCGGCCTTTATTTCATTTTGGCATATTCTTTGTAATGTTTAAACGAAGATAGCATTCCTTAATTTTTATATTTAATAAAAGCTCTTTTCTTATTATGTATAGCTTTTTTAACTTTGGCCGTAAGCCACATAGATTTGACTTTTCTTTTGTTTGTCTTTTTGAAGAACTCCCATTTCTCTGTTTTCATCGATGCCAATATTCCCTCCCAGTCTAAGTCTTGGAGAGCAGCTCTCAACCTTGGAAAATTTGCTCTTAAAGTTGAGTTTTTATTTTTCCTGTATGTGATTGATGTTTACAACTAACAATAAATGAAATAATGTTATGGTCACTGCTACCCAGATGTTCTTTGATATGGACATTCGTAATAAGCTCTGCATGGTTTGAGATTACCAGGTCCAGCAGAGCATCATTCCTAGTTGGGGCCTCTATGAACTGTACCATAAAATTGTCCTGTAGTGGGTTTATACATTTTTGCTCTTTAACTGTTCCTTTAACCCTTTCAGTCTGCGCAAGGAGCGGAGTCTCCACCGCCTCATTTACACTGGGAGGCATATATCAAACTCCAATGATTACCTTTTGTAGTACGCACCCCCATGTGCAGTTCCACCCATAATGCTTTAGCCTCATCGCACTCTCTATCAACTAGGTCCTCTTTCACACTCGCTCTGAGATCACTTCTCACATAGAGACAGACACCACCACCTTTCCTTTTTACCCTGTCTTTCCAAAGAGAACATAGCCAGGAATATTAATGGCCCAGTCTTGTGAAGAATGAAGCTAAGATTCAGAAATACCAATTAAATCTTAAATCTGTTTATGCACCAAAGCTTCCAACTCACCTATTTTGCTTGGCAGACTTCTGGCATTAGTGAACACACACTTTAATTTTTTTACACTTTGTGCACACGTATTTTGCATATTTTTTATTTTCAAAGAAATGGTACCACTTCCAATGGTTGTTTCTAATATGGCAACCATAGCCCTCCCTCCATCTTTCCCCATTCAACCCACCAATAAGGACTGACCCCTGTCTGATCTGTCTGCCCCATTATAATCTAATTCTCCCCCCTCAACCTTAGTTTAACTTCTTGCCGACCGCGCATAGCCAAATGACGGCTTCACCGCGGCCGGCCAGTTCTGAGTGGACGTCATATGACGTCCTCCCAGAACGCGCTCTCCTGCGCGCCCCAGGGGGCGTGCACCCGGCGATCTCCGTGATCCTACGGACACAGCTGATCACGTGATGTGGTGAAAGGCCGATCCCACCGGCCTTTTACCACGTGATCAGCGGTGTCCAATGACACGCTGATCACAGGGAAATGCAAGTGCCGGTTCTCGGCTGCACTTTCCTCACGCTGTCAGATCGGTGCCCAGCAGTGACACCCGCAAGTTCCGCCCAGCAGTGCGCCCACTAGCCCCGCCCACCCGTTCCCGCCCCCACCTGTGCCCAGCAGTGCCCCCACCTGTGCCCAGCAGTGCCCCCACCTGTGCCACTCTGCAGTGCCACCTACCTGTGCCCAGAAGTGCCACCTACATGTGCCCAGAAGTGCCAGCAACCTGTGCCCACCCACCTGTGCCACCCACCTGTGCCCACCAGTGCCACCCACCTGTGCCCACCCACCAGTGCTGCCCACCAGTGCCACCCACCAGTGCAGCCCAGTAGTGCTGCCAGTCAGTGCCACCAGTCAGTGCCCAGGGGTTGTGCCAGTCAGTGCCGCCAGTCAGTGCCCAGAAGTGATGCCAGTCAGTGCCGTCTATCAGTACCCATCATCAGTGTCACCTATCAGTGCCGCATATCAGTGCCGCCTATCCGTGACCCCTAATTAGTGCTGTCTATCAGTGCCGCCTATCCGTGCCACCTCATTAGTACTGCCTATCAGTGCCCTTTAGTGCTGCCTATCAGTGCCCATCAGTGCCGCCTATCAGTGCCCATTCAGTGCCGCCTCATCAATGCAAATCAGTGAAGGAGAAAAAAAATACCTGTTTGAAAAATTTTATAAAAGAAACAAATAAACTTTTTTTTTTTTTTTTCAAATTTTTTGCACTTTTTTTAATTTATAGCGCAAAAAGTAAAGCGCCCAGTGGCGATTAAATACCACCAAAAGAAAGCTCTATTTGTGAGAAAAAAATGATCAAAGTTTCATATGGGTACAATGTTGCATGACTGCGCAATTGTCAATCAAAGTGCGGCAGCGCTGAAAGCGGAAAATTGGCCTGGTAAGGAAGGGGGTATAAGTGCCTGGTAGGCAAGTGGTTAAATACTCCTCCAGCCTCCCCATAAACCTCTCCCCCAGCACAGCAGACCCCCTTCCATTTAGGTGCAAAACATCTCTAGCATATACGTTGCACCCCAAATAAAAGTCAGCCCAGTGCTCTAGAAACCCAAATCCTTCTCTCTTAAATCAGGTCTTCAGCCATGCATTGCATTCTCTAATGTACCCCTGTTTTTTGGGGTTTTAAGGAGAAAGGAGCTAAGAAAAACAGGTCTCCCCCCCCAAAGCTGAACTTTGGGAATGAGACAAGAGAGGTACCCTTGCAGTGGGCCCCCTGCACTACAAGGGTTAAATGCTAGTTTAGTACAGAGATGAGGTGTATTTACTTACCTTACTCCTGGCTCCAGCTGGGTTTCTCAATCTATGCCACTAGTCCCCACAGCATCCTCTTAGACAGTTTGCACCAAGATCACAAGCTCACCTCCTTTTGTACAGTGCAGGATTATAGCCCTGCACTGGGCGTAAGGCTGGTGAGGGACCACCCAGAACTTGAGGACAGTCTTGGAGCCTGCCAGAGCCAGGAATAAGGTACAGTAAGTAACACAGTGTATCTCTTCACCCCTAGACCAAATGAGTATTTAAAGTGTTACTAAACCTAGGACCTGCATTCACTATATCTGCTCTCCCCGGACCCTGCATTCACTATATCTGCTCTCCCCGGACCCTGCATTCACTATATCCAATCTCCCCGGACCCTGCATTCACTATATCTGGTCTGCCCGGACCCTGCATTCACTATATCTGGTCTCCCCCAGACCCTGCATTCACTATATCTGGTCTCCCCGGACCCTGCATTCACTATATCTGGTCTCCCCCGGACCCTGCATTCACTATATCTGGTCTCCCCCGGACCCTGCATTCACTATATCTGGTCTCCCCCGGACCCTGCATTCACTATATCTGGTCTCTCCCCGGACCCTGCATTCACTATATCTGGTCTCCCCGGACCCTGCATTCACTATATCTGGTCTCCCCGGACCCTGCATTCACTATATCTGGTCTCCCCCGGACCCTGCATTCACTATATCTGGTCTCCCAGGACCCTGCATTCACTATATCTGGTCTCCCTGGACCCTGCATTCACTATATCTGGTCTCCACTGGACCCTGCATTCACTATATCTGGTCTCCATGGACCCTGCATTCACTATATCGGTCTCCCCAGACCCTGCATTCACTATTTCTGGTCTCCCCAGACCCTGCATTCACTATATCTGGTCTCCCCGGACCCCGCATTCACTATATCTGGTCTCCCACAGTACACAAAACACGGAAATTCAATTATTTTAGTAAATATAAACTGCTAAATACCTTTTCTTATAGCAGTTAGAGCAGTCTTGTGACTTCTATCAGTGTCCAGCTGAGCACTTGTTAACGCTTGTAGGAGGAGTTTCCATCTGTCCAATGAGACTGCAGGACCCCTGAACTTCTGTCTGGACAGTGCTGATTGGCCCTGTGCTGATCACATGAACTTTCTAAAGGAAAAAAAAAACCCTCTCTAGCAATACACATAAAACTGAGCATGTGCAGCTCGCCACCAGGGCTCTGTTCTAGCAGGAGATTACTTGGGGACAATGGAAGAAGGGGAAGATCAAAGAAGACAGGATCAAACAGCCTTTTTACACAATGCAAAGGATTAACCCCTTAAGTTCCACAGTGAATATAACGAGCATGCTTTACTGCATATAGAGATTGACTTTACTTTTGTGGGTTTAGTAACACTTTAAAGCTTTCAGTGATAGGGGCCTTGAACCCTCACAGCTGGGTGCAAGTTCAGAAATGTGTTGGCATCAGGAGCGGACTGACCATTTGGAAACTCGGGCAATGCCCGAGGTCCCAAGGTCAGTAGGGGGCCCCATGAGATGCCCCTAGTACCTTTTTCATAGGCTTTTTTGAGTTTGGGCAAGGACACAGGGGCCCCATGATCCCCTATTGCCCGGGGGCCCCATGAGTTGTCAGTCCGCCCCGGTTGGCATGCAATATCTGATACTGCCAACAGAACAATTTCCAAGAATCTGAGACATCAGGGCATAGCAGTGCATAGCATTAGGAAAACAAACAGAACAAGAACCATCCCCACAGAAAGAGTAAAGAAATGGCCATAATTATTACTCAAAACACAGTATTTTCTGGCTGGAGTGCCCCTTTAAGCACATGCTATAGTTCACCTCTTAGGACCGTTCTCTACGTTCCCGTCTTATTATTACGAATATATGAGAAGTGAAATGTGTGAGTTGGGTTTAGCTAGCGGCTGCAGGCATTGGTTGTGCGTTCACCTTGCCCGCAGCAGCTTGGGTCAGGGCTGAGATTCACAGCAAGGTGTCAGCGGCTGCGTCTTCTAGCACCTGAGCTGTGGATGCTGCTGCTGGTCACCATAGCAATGCTCATCAGTGATGCACGTCTGCAGCACGGAGGAGGAGGAGGAGGAGGAGGGGGATATAGCAAGATGACAGCTTCTATTTTCAGCTGTGAGCCAACAAACACACATTCCCCTGCTCAGGGCTCTCAGCTGCAGCACTGACAGAGGAGCCGGAGGAGAGGCAGACACTCATTGACAAGAGACAAGACTATCTGGAGGTGTCCAAGGACATAACTAAGGTTTCAAGCAGCCTTTTCCACCAGTGTTCCTCCAGGGGTTGCTAGGGATTCCTTGGTTAACCTCTAAAGAAAGTACTAATGTAAAGTACATTTTTTCCATCAACTGTCCACCAATGTGAGTAGCCTTGTCCTAACACCAATGTACGGCCCTTCTCTGCTGTCATTCAATGTAAGGGAAGCCTTTCTCCACTGACCTTCGATATGGGGGCTCTGCTAACCAACAAAGTCAGTGTAGGGCCTTCTTTACTGATCAATCATGTAGATGACACTCCTTAACTGTCTACCGATGTGAAGGGTCCCTTGGCCCCCCGACCATAAATTTAGGAGGCCCTTTTTTGCTAACCAGCAATGTAAGAGGGGTCCTACTCCACTGACCTTCAACGTTAGTGGCCCTTCTCTATTGACCATCAATGTAAGGGGCATTCTCCATTGACCATCAATGTAAGGGGCACGTCCCCACTAACTATCATTGTAAGGGGAATTCTCCACTGACCAACAATGTAAGGGGCACTTCCCCACTAACTGTCAATGTAAGGGGCATGCCCCCACTGACTATCAAGGTAAGAGGGGTCCTACTCCACTGACCATCAACGTTAGTTAGTGGCCCTTCTCTACTGACCATCAATGTAAGGGGCACTTCCCCACTCACTATCAATGTAAGGGGAATTCTCCGCTGACCATCAATGTAAGGGGCACTTCCCCACTAACTGTCAATGTAATGGGCATTGTCCACTGATCATCACTGTAAGGGGCATTCTCCAAAGATCATTAGTGTAATGGGCATTCTCCACTGACCATCGATGTAAGGGGACATTCCCCACTGATCATCACTGTAAGGGGCATTCTCCACAGATCATCAATGTAAGGGGCATTCCCCACTGACCATCAATGTAAGGGGCATTCTCCACTGACCATCATTGTAAGGGGCATTCTTCACAGATCATCAATGTAAGGGGCATTGTCCACTGATCATCAATGTAAGGGGCATTGTCAACTGACCATCACTGTAAGGTGCATTCTTCAAAGATCATTAGTGTAAGGGGCATTCGCCACTGACCATCGATCTAAGGGGAATTGTCCACTGACCATAACTGTAAGGGGCATTCTCCACAGATCATCAATGTAAGGGGAATTGTCCACTGACCATCACTGTAAGGGGCATTCTCCACAGATCATCAATGTAAGGGGCATTCTCCACTGACCATCATTGTAAGGGGCATTGTCAACTGACCATCACTGTAAGGTGCATTCTCCAAAGATCATTAGTGTAAGGGGCATTCTCCACTGACCATCAATGTAAGGGGCATTCTCCACTGATCATCAATGTAAGGGGCATTCTCCACTGACCATCAATGTAAGGGGCATTCTCCACTGACCATCAATGTAAGGGGCATTCTCCACTGACCATCAATGTAAGGGGCATTCTCCACTGACCATCAATGTAAGGGGCATTCTCCACTGATCATCAATGTAAGGGGCATTCTCCACTGGTCATCAATGTAAGGGGCATTCTCCACTGACCATCATTGTAAGGGGCATTCTCCACAGATCATCAATATAAGGGGCATTGTCCACTGATCATCAATGTAAGGTGCATTCTCCACTAACTATCAATGTAAGGGTCATTTCTTCACAGACCACCAAAGTAAGGGGGGACTTTTTCACTAACAAGCAATATAAAGGGGGGCCTATTTTACAGATTGATAATGTGAAAGATATTCTTCAACTGTCCGCCAGTGTGAGAGCTTCCTTTGGCTCACTGGCCATATGTGTAAGAGACACTTCTCTGCTAACCACCAATGTAAGGGGCCTTTCTCCATTGACCATCAATTTAAGGGGCACATTTCCACTGACCATCAATCTAAGGGGGCACTTTTAGCCCACTAGGAAAGCCGGCACAGCGTGATTAAGGCTGTAAAGGCTGAAATGTGTTGACTTTTACTGGCTGTATCTCCCTGCATATCATTAACAAAGGAGTAATTTGCTGATCCATATCGCTGTGATGGCTTTCCTAGTGGGCTATGTGTATGTGAGACTTAAAAACCTGCAGCCTGAGCACCGATTTTATATTCCGTCTGGGAGGCAGTTGTTTGTTTGCAAGGGGGCACTTTTCCCTGACCATCAATATAAATGGCTTTCTTCATGGATAAATAATATGAAGGACGTTCTTCAACTGTCCACCAATGTTAGGGGTCCTTTGGCCAAGTAAGCATAAATGTAAGAGGCCTTTATCTGCTAACCATCAACGTAAGGTGACCCTTCTCCACTGACCACCAATGTAAAGCTGGGTACACACCTGAATCTGACAGGTCTCCCCCCTTTTCCCCAAATATACTGGCTGCAAGTTATGCTCGAATCTGGTTTTTCAGAATGCCTGTTCGACAGAAGGCAATCGTTAGACCGGCTTCTGTTGAACAGACAGCTTCACACACGAACCGAAAGTTGGCCAGTTCCTGCTGAACCAGCTGATTTTGGCCTGTGTGTATTGGGCTTAAAGTGTTACCAACACAACACTAAGATCAGTCTGTATATGTTAATCCCCCTTCTTCTACTGTCCCCAATCCATCTGCTGATGACCTCTAGGAGGTACTCTGCACATGCTCTGTTTGGTGTGTATTGCTGGAGAGGTTTGCAGAGGTTGCAGATATAGTGAATACAGGGTCCGGGGAGACCAGATATAGTGAATGCAGGGTCTGGGGAGACCAGTTATAGTGAATGCAGGGTCCGGGGAGACCAGTTATAGTGAAATGCAGGGTCCGGGGAGACCAGATTATAGTGAATGCAGGGTCCGGGGAGACCAGATATAGTGAATGCAGGGTCCGGGGTTTAGTAACACTTTAAGGGGGCATTTTGCCACTGGCCACCAATGTAACAGAGGGCTGCCTTTCACTGATCAATGAATGTAAAGGACATTTTTCAACTGTCAACCAATGTTAACCCAAATAAAATAAATACCATATGTATTCATCCCCTAATGACTTAATGAAGCTGAAGTTTGATATTCTTTTATTCTGCCTTGTTCTTGTTCCTCCATTCCCCCTAATCAACAAAGTAATGACATTTTTAAATAAAACATTCCAGTTTAATACATTCCTTATTTTAGACCCAGTAATGCCATCACTGGGTTTCTGTGCTTCTCTATGCAACAAGGGCAGATCATGACTAGTGGGAGGGTCTGGCAGGGTGCAGAGTAACATACTGAATACATCACACTATCCTGCCTCAGTACTCCTCTCGAGAGCCGCACCCTCACTGCAAGCAGTGGACTGGCTCTTGGGAAGAATTATGCAAATATCAAAATGCATTGATAGGTGGATGCCAGTCTGGAGGAGTAGGTGTTCCTATGTAGGCTGCATTTGCATGCAGACTGTCCTAGGTAACACCCACATGTGACTCAAAAGCCAGCCATAGGTGGAGGAATCTCGGCCAGTTCAGTAAGAACCGGCCAAGATTTGATCCATCTATGGGAAGGCTATG